AAACATTGCAACATTGCACATAACTACTTCATGTTTTATCTGCTTGTTGGTTCAGTTGTTTTTCGCTTTTTCGTTTCAGTGACGTTTTCCGACAACTTTTCGATGTTGGCGGTTTTGCTTTATAAGTTTTATTTTGTCGCAATTAAAATAGCCAATCAATAAAGCAGAGTAGCAGTGCAACAAAACGAGTTTTTTACTACTTTTTATTTATCACTACTTTTATGCCACATTTGTGACAAATATCAATCGATGTGCGACGTTTTGTCTGCGGACACATGCGTTTGCTACGGCTGGACGCGCAGATGTGCATACATATATAGGTACATACGTATGTATGTTGACTTAACTATACAAGTAGTTTTCGTGTATCCATAAAAATATTACACTTCAATGTGACAACGCCCGGCATTAAATCAATTTCAATAAAATCTTAAAAGGCGGCAAAGCCACTAATTATATTTAGAAATAAAAACAATTTCAAATATGCAGCGGCAGTTGTACACATACATACACATAAATGTTTTTTTATGTACATACATGTGTTAACATTTGATTTTGATTGATTTTATGATTAACTGGCTTTTCAACTAAAGTTATTAACAAAATTAATTTGTGAACACCATTTCAAGAGAAAATATTTATGAAAAATATTGTATCAATCAAAATAATTTAAATCAATTAAATATTAATATACGCTCATTATTCGTAACCGCCTATCGATTTATGTACATATCGCCCATTTACTTCAATAGTGTCATAACTCAAAAAGGCTCAACTCGCGATAGACGGCTTTAAAGTTTTGAACTAACATATATACATGCCCTCCGCAACAAGCAAAGCGAGGTTCAAAGCCGCCTTGGTGGAACAGGGGGTTCGGAGCAGTCAGAAGAAATGTTAGAGAACTCTTCAAACAGTGAGAACTCACTGGAAAACCTAGTCAACACACATTTGCCGGGGTGTACAGACTGCATAGATCTGCTACTTTTAGGAGATAGCGTGGAAAATATCCCCCGGACATCATAACGGAAGAAAAAATACGGTGGGAAATCAATGGCTCCGAACCGTTTAAGTCCCCAGGCACAGACGGTATCTTTCCAGCCTTGATGCAAAAAATTTCCGCAGTGCTGGCACCATACTTGATAATAATATACGAGGGATGTTTAAGGTTAAACTATGTGCCTCTCGTTTGGAGAGAGGCGTGGGTCGTATTCATACGGAAGGTGGGCAAGGGAAACCCCCTATATTCGAAAGAATTCAGACCAATTAGTCTAACCTTATTCCTTCTAAAGATATTCGCTGCCGTCGGCCAGCATATCAAAGGCGCAGAATGCTTACACGAAGGGTAGATCCACTGAGTCTGCACTTCACTCACTAACCGCGGAAATAGAAAGAACACTGGAGCACAAAGGATACGCCCTAGGGGTCTTTCTAGACATATGTGTGGCATTTACTAACGTCTCCTATGAGGCAATAATGGAAAGTCTAGAAGCAGCCCAGGTAGAGCCTGCCATACTACTATGGATAAAAAGTATGCTGAGCTGCAGGAAGATTAACACGAAGTGGAACGAAGCCAGACTGCTCAGACTAGCGCATAGAGGAACTCCTCAGTGTGGTGTACTGTCACCACTCCTGTGGCTACTCGTAGCGAATGAGCTTCTGAGAAACTTCGAAGGGAAATCACCCAGACTAATTGCCTATGTGGACGACATAGCTCAAGGATCACAAACAGCAAACTGATGTGGAAGCTAAATATAGAGGAAAGGGTGAAAAAGGCCCTTTACGCATGTAAAAAGCTGCTGGGTACCACATGGGGCCTATCCCCTGGCCTCATGTATTGGTGCTACACAGCGGTAGCTAAGCCGATATTGCTCTACGCTGCTCTGGTATGGTATACCACTGCCAACAAAATCTCACATAGGAAACCATTGGAGCGATTACAGGGGCTTACTGCACTGTGGATAACAGGAGCGCTAAGGACCACTCCAACGGCGGCCCTTGAAAGGTTACTTGAGCTACCACCAATGGACATCGCAGTGTAGAGCACTGCAGCGAAATCCGCTATGAGATTGATGGCCTTAGGTGGATTCTCCGCACGAACCTTCGGGCACAGCTGCAGGCGGATGGAGGACAAAATAGACCACATACTTCCACGCTTCATCTGGGGAAGAAGGTTTTAAGCCACATTTAAGAAGGGCGGATGGCGCAGGAGCATGCGAACCGCCAGCGGAACATATAACATCCATACGGATGGATCTAAAATGGCTAATGGTGTGGGCGCCAAAGTCTATTGCGCCGAGCTAGACCTCAGGCAACCCTTCAAGCTTCCAGAGTACTGCAGTATTTTCCAGGCGGAAGTCTTCGCTATAGGGAAAGCTGCTAAGACAGCAAGCAACGCAGGAAACTATATAAAAAAAATACCAATATATATGTCGATAGCCAGGCGGCGATTAAGGCTACAATCTCACATCGTATGGTGTCAGAAAATGACCTTAATAACAGGGAAGCAGTAGACAGAGCGGCTGGGGATTGCAGGACGGTTGTCGGCCTAATGACGGGCCACAACCTACTGGCATCCCATGCAAGCAGGGAGGCAGGCATGAGTGAACACCTCTGTTTCTGTGAGCCGTTAGCTAGAACTCGTCTTAGATATCTCGGAGCTTCGCAGTTCAAAGGACTAGAGGAGGCTTCAAAACTGGATATTAAGGCTCTCTTGAACTTTGTAAAAAGCGTTGACGTGCTATACGATGACTACTTTAGATCGCAGTGAAACGGACCTCCATGGGGCACTACAAAGGACCTACGGGTCTATGTAAGGCGCATCAGCCGGCCAGTGTAACTTAACCTAACCTAACTGCATTTTCGTATTTTTTCGATTAGGACACTATTGAAATAAATGAGCGATATGTTCACAAGAAACCAAAATTTCTTTAACAAAAATTATTTTTGCCGTTAACGAGAAGTTTAGAGTTTCTACGTGTTTCACACTAATTGACGCATTTAACTTAAAACGCAATGTATTTTTTGCTGCTTTGCTAAAACAAAATAAAAGAATTAAATAAGGAAACTTGTGTTCAGATGCATTTTCCAACAACACTGTATGCCACAAGCCTAAAACGTAAATTGTACATAAATGCTGTAAATACTGCAAATTCGTTGCTTAAAGCGTAGGCAAGCGCAATTCTTATATGGCTAGTTTGATCTGGGAATTAAACTTCCATTTGGTTTGGTAAAAAATGCATCGAAGCATGCACAAAAATAAACGAGTGCTTGGGAAAAATACAAGAAAATTGGCGATAAAAATAAGAAACCTAAGAATACAGAAATTGCTACCAATTTCATTGGATTCATATGGAATGTCGTAAAATAAATTGAATTTGTTGAATTGAATGAGTTTCGAAAAAATAAACGTTGGGTTTTTGTACGTACAGTCAGTCAATAAAGTTTAGGTACAGCGAATTGTTTACAATATGGGCAACTATTTTTTAGGTTTTTAATTTTTCGCTAATTTTTTATAAAATATCGTTCATTCTACCCCAAAAATCAGAGCTCAAAACCTTGTGCTAAATTTAATAAAATTCCGCAAAATTCGATCCAAATATTGCACTTTTTATTTACGCTCTCTAGAAAAAGCTGAGTTTTTTAGCCGTTTCATTTTTTTTTTTGTTGAAGGTGTCGTACATTTTTACCATGTAAAAAAAAGGAAAATTGCTAAAAATCAATGACAGGTCCTAGTCACCTCAAACTTGCACCTTGTTATACTAAAATTGAATGGGCTAAAAAACTGCATACTCAACTTTTTCTGAACAGTGTAAATAAAAAGTGCAATATTTGAATGAAATTTTGCGGAATTTTCTTTAATTTTGCACAAGGTTTGGTACTCTAAGATTTGGGGGTTTTGTTGTAGAATTAACTAATTTTTTATATATTTATAGAAAATTAGCGAAATATAAAATATTTAAAAAATAGTTGCCCGTATTGTAAAAAATTCGATGTACCTAAACTTTATTGACTGACTGTAGATACATATGTACATATGTATTTCAGGTATAAGCTAAAAAAAAGGATGTGACAGCTGGAACTAGTACACCGCGAGAATTAAAATAGGTTTAAAGAGCTCTATAAACAGACATTTTCATACAAATTTTCAATTTTTTATGCAGATGAAGTTGCCTGTCTTTTGGCGACCAGTATGCCGCCTTCGTTTGGCGATCGTGGTGGGTTCTAATCTGGAGGCCAGCCATGCTCTTAAATTTCGTTTTTACTTGGACAAACAGCGATACTTTCATAAGTTGAGCTTCTCAGTTTGTTGGGCAAATTTTTAAAAATTATCGTGAATTATTTGATCACTCTCCCGATCTACAAGAGGTCATTCAAGAGCTTATATTTTTTTTAATTTGGAGTTTTTTTTTTGTATTAATTAATTAATTTTTTAATTTCTAATTTTGGTTTTTATTAATTTAGTAGTTATTTAAATATTTAAATGTTTTCATTAATAGTTATTCTGGTATATTTAGTATTTTGTTTATATAACAAGTCGCGGCAAAATTCAACTTATTTATGAATTATAATAAGGCGACAATATTGAATAGTTCCTCACCGCCAAGTCAGAGCTCTTAAATGTCCTTCGCGTACATGTCGTTCAAATTACGATCTTTCAATACCCTATATAATTTCTGTTAAACGCAAATGGTATGTAAGCCTCCATCAACAATTTTTTGTATGAATCTGTTGAAGGAAATCCCAAGAAAGAATTTCAAAGGACAATTTTAAATTTTTTTTTTATTGCTTTCATCTTTTTGTTTTAGTACCCCTATAATTGTATCATCTATACGTATGCATGTTCCTGTATAGATTTTAACATTCTTATAGTTTTTCGTGTCCTTTACTACAGTTAAGCTCTAGAATTTTATTTATTTTTTTCTGGTTTTTCTAGCAGGAACATTACTATCGCACCGTATTACCCTTCACTTATTTCTTTCACTTTCTTGTTTTCCACCTACCGTCACGCCAACGTGGCACCGTCACGAACAGCCGATTGCCCCAATGCTCAACGCCGACAGGCAGCGCATTCTGTGGTACATAATCACCGCTAGCGAGCGCTTGCTGCTTCAAGCCAGGATTAGGAAAGGCGAAGTCCAATTGTGTCCAGCTGTAACGTTCCTGTAATTTGTAGGCGGCTTGCGCATGCGCCACAAGGCAGAACAATAGCGCGGCGAGACGATAAATTGAAGAACGCGAATTCGCATTCATTTTATGGCAAGTTTATTTAAATATCTATGGTTCGAATTCAAAAAAAGGATTTTTACATAAACCTTCGTTTTTTTTTTTTAGTTTCAAATATAATTCGTTTAAGTTATTTTTCAACACAACGCGCGCTTCCGTTTCCTAACGCGAATGACGCGCTAATCGCAATACCCAGTTTCTATGCACCAACGTTGTAGGTGCCGACACGCGACTGTTGTCGAATTAGCGAATTGTTACGATTTTTATAAACTTTAGCAAAACAAGCAACACACTCTGCGAACCAACAGCCGCGCGCTGGGCCAACTGGCTTGCTTGCCATTTCGCGCTTTGCAACCGTGCAGACCCAGACCCAGACGCGCACACGCAGACGCATTGCCGACAAGCCTCTCCATTAGCTATTAGCTGCCGATACATGCGTAAACAATTTTTGGTCTTGTTGTTGCTGATTTTCCGCGCTGCTTGTTTTCCGAATGCTTCGACGGCTTGTCAATCTGTCGTACGGTGCTATGCCGATGTTGTGACTGCTGCTTATTTCTTGCAGGCAGGTGACAGTGCAAAAGTAGCTGCTACCATTGGCGACAAACTTGTGTCGATCTACTTATGTATATATAATTGAAAATCTATTTTGCCATTACCAAATTTTATGACAACTATTAAAGTGGGATTTTGAATAACAGTAACATAAGTGATCATGTGGATTTTTATAGTAACGCCAGAACTGCTTCCAGTCGCCGCTCGGCAATCGCCACTGTGGTGACGGTCGGTGTTGTCAAAAAAAACAAAAAAAAAGTTGCCATTTTGGGCTTGAAGACAGAAAGGAGTTAAAAAGAGCTAAAATAATAAATTTAAAACCAGATTTTTAAAGCAATTTAGAACAAGAGGAGCCAAATCTGCGGCTGAAAGCACCAAAGCGACGGTGAGAGGCGAGTGGCGAGCACAAAGCGGACCAGTACTTTTACATTTCTACCAAAAATCCTAAGCTGAGAGAAAACTACTTAGTAAAAACTCAACCTTCATCGAAAACTGTTTTGACTTGGTACTTGACTAGGTAGCACTTGGTGGCAAGAGTGATTCTCCATTGGATTTAAAAGCTAACCCTATCGATGTTAATTCTGATTCGAACACAAAAGGAGTTAAATTTTAACTATTACCAGTGTCAAGGGATACTAAGTCTTGCCCTCGTCAACCTCAAAGCTCGATATGATCGGCATACGCTCTTTTAAAATACTACTCCTAAGCGATTCAGTTATACAGCTTTAATTATTTTTTTCACCGTGACATCAAAGTTCCACAATAGGGTGTGTTGAATGGCTCGTAGAGTTCCTTTCTTATTCCGACGGATCTGATCGTTTTGATTAACATCATCTTGCACAAACGTTTTAGTTTCGTAGGAATACCAAATTTAAACTTCGCGTCTTGATCCTCTGCTCGCAAATATTTTCCAAAATTTGACGTTGGGTTAATAGCTGGTCTGTGGTAAATAGATCAACTCGGGTTAAAACCAAAAACAATAACTCGATGAAACCTTACCTTCTATCTAGTCGTCCAGCGTTAATCCGACCATATTCTTAAATAGCTCAGCCGGCCGACCGGCAGACCGTGAGCTCCTAAAGTTTTGTAGTTTCTCTCCCGTTTAAATGCTTTTCATACCGCGTCATAGATGAATGGTGGGTCATAGTCTTACTCCTCTTCGTTGTTGTTATTGTTGTAGCGGCTACAACAATCCCGCCAGATCGGTTAATATCTCAGTCGTTGTCGTCAAGTTCCACTAACGGTAGCCCCTAAGAAGCGTGCAGCCTCAATAGGGTCGGTCAACGGGGATAAAAGCGTTAGGGTTGTCGGGTTTTCCGAGCATACGAAGAGATTTTTCGTGTCATGGGGTGTCTCTCCGCATTCCGGACACTCATTTGGTACATCTGCGTTTAGTCTGCTCAGGTATGAGTTTAACCTGCTGCAGTAGCCAGAGCGAAGTGGGGCTATTGTGGTTCTAGTCTCCCGAGGCAGATGAAGCTCCGTCTCGTCAATGTCCGGTGATTGTGCGTCTAGAACGGTATTCACAGGTCTGGAGTCTACATAACTTGAGACTGACTCCCTGTGAATGCCGTTGCCGGGCCTGCCGATAAGCTGGCGGGTCCAGAGGTTGTTTAATGAACCTCTGGACTTCGTCCGTCAGTTCGTAGAGATGCCTCCTGACGTGTCTGGTCCAGGGCTCTTCCGCAAGCAGTTGCCTATTTGGGTGACCACATCTATGGCTCCCAACAAGAAACTGCTTGCAGAGCATTGTGTTGTGCTCTGTAATCGGGAGCAATTTCGCCTTGTCGTGCAGGTGGTGTTCTGGCGACATCAGAAGGTATCCAGTCGCTGTCCGTAGTCCTGTGTTTTGCGTCGTCTGCAGCTTCATCCACTGCGTCCTACTAGTCCGCGGCGACCACACTCACTGGTCCTGCGTAATTTAAAACCTCTTCGTCTGCGGGCTCAGTTTACACTTCCATACTGATCCTAATGCCATTCAGTAGGGAAAATTTCCCTTCAGCGTCTTTTGGGTATCGTCCCCTAGGCTCTTCTTAAACGAATTCGCCCTGATCTTGAAATCCTCCGTAAGTTTCCTAACTTTCTAATAAGATATTAGTCATTCTTTCCTATCGACCTTTCTTGTGAGTATGTGTCCTTCTCTCTCTTCAGCTTCTTATGTCGAACGACATACCACTCGTTTTGCCCGCTCGTTTTTCCCTGTCACGGCGTTCTCATCGTACCAGTTGTTCTTTTCTGAACGCCAGATATTTTATTGGTTTGAACAACTCTGTAAGTCGAGTAATAAATGTGTGCAAAACTCTGATCATGATCGATTTAGTTTTTCATCCTTCGATGTGGAAACCGCAATGTATACGGATGGATCATTTTATGCTACGATCTAGTGCAGCAGAGTGCCATGTTTAGACCCGGGCGAAGGCCATCAGCCTTAGTCAGTTATGCAACTTTTCACATTGGAAACTAAGTTTTCCAACTGTCGAGCATTACCACCGCCTAACACGTTGTTTATGTGTTTACGGGGGAAGCACTCATAAGTACGTTCAAAGTATTCATAAAAGCGATCTTTAACCGTATCGCCTTTCTTTTTCATTGGAACGTGGTCGAAAATTGGAGAAATCTGTAATTGACTAACTTTGATGTGAATTGAGGCAACGATGGTCGGCCACTGGGGTGAAAGACAGTACTTGGCGACAAAGTCTTTCTCTCGCCACAAATCCGCCACAATACCGACGTCGCGCTCCTTTGCATCGCGGTTGTACTTAATGTCTGGCCGCACGTACTTCTTGCCTCACTCATCGAATGTCTAGGATGGCGTAGGCATCACACAGGTTGGCTGGCTACAGCATCTCGGACATGGGTTGCTCACATAGCCCACGACGATAGACAAACTCGATCTCAAAAAAAAAAAAAAAAAATCCATAAACAGCAACACTGGCAGCGATTGCACTTTCGTGGCACGCATTGCGTGAGGTGGTACAAATTCTAAGCACTATTTCGCCTATGTAGCATTGCTACACATTTATCCTACGCAAAAAAATTTTGTGTATGGGGGGCTAAGTGCGCTCTTGCTGCTTGCGCAAATGCATGATTTATTGATTTTCTTTAAGATTTTTTATTTTTATTTTCTTAATTGGCAGTAAAAAGCAATTTTGCAACATTTTCCAGATTGTGTCTCACATTGACATGCAATGAGGAAAATTTCGTGCGTAATGTGTTAAATCGATAAACACTTTGGCCGCGAGACTAATAACACGATATTGGCGTATTTGAAAAACCTTTTGTGGTCGGAAAAGTGTACGCATGCGCAGCATAATCGCGACTCCCTGGGTAAATCAACCGCTTTTTTGTGGTTTATTGTTTAAATATATACGACTGCATACACATGTTTTTCCGAATGCTGAATAAAAAACCTGTTAGTATTTCCCTGTGGTGGCACGTATGTATTTATGTACATATGCGGCGGTACAGTCACAATTTTACATTGTTAGCAACTTGTCTTACTAATGCAACATCTCAATGCTGCGGAATTGAAAAACTTTACAATGTGGGGTACACGTATGAAGCAGACATTTTTTTTGCTGCAAAATCACCGCTTACATGTACATTAGACTGCATTACTCGCCATACAAAAAAAAAAACAATAAAATCGGTACTCTTTTTTTATTGGAATTATAGAATCAGCATCAAAAATCTCGTTATTAGGATTCCGTTGGAAAGATTTGTAAATATTTTTATGCACATTTTTTAAGCCTATGCCTGTTTTGTCATCTGAGGGGACCTTTTTCAAAAAGTTCTTTAAGTAACTATTTTTATTCATAAAAAACTTCATTTTTGGAGGTATTTTCAAATCGGTCCAGCTGACGTAAATCTTAATATTTTTCCGAAATATTTTGGCGGAAATCTTCAAATATAATAAGTTTTGTAGTCCCGGTGGAAAGAACGCTACTTTTTTTTTGGTGATGCAGTCTAATGTACAAGTACATACTAGTAATTTCAAATAAAAATTTATTATTATGAATTATTTATGAAGCTGTCACCATACAAAGACATTATAATTTCATCATAAAATTACAAAACGGCTCTTCCTTTACCAGACAGTTTAATAATATTGAATTAAATTTTGCATGAAATGGCAACACTGCCAAAAGCATATACGAGCAGAGGTTAAAAAGTTCAAGAAAAGGAGAAAGGTTGCTCAGATCTGTAACACAATACATACCATTTTAATGAGATCATTATCAGCTATGNTATTGGTCGCAAAGTCGATTAGAAAATCGATAAAATATCGATAAAAACATCGATAACAAAATCGATAACAAAAATTTATAACAAAAATCGATTAGAAAATCTATAAAAATATCGATAACGAAATCTTTAAAAATATCGATAACAAAATCTTTAAATAATCGATAACAAATTCGATAAATAATCGATAACCAAATCTATAACAATATCTCTAACAAACATCGATAACA